TTTTTTTTTTTTTTTTTTTTTGCTGATATTAGTTCTTTTTGTGACATGCCTGTAACCAAGAAAAAGTTTTAGCTGATGCGCGTACCTTGCAAAGAACCTTACAGGTTTATAATGTGAAAACTGTACCGTTGAAGGAAAACTTAGTTGATATGCTATGGAGTGATCGTCCCGCAGAAACTATTAACCCGGTAGTACTAAGTCAATATAATATACAGCAAATCATTTGAAAGCTTTGCTTCTTCGGAGCTTTAGCTGCGAACTTGGTTTTAAGAGAAAGATTTTCCAGAAAAAAATTTTTCTCGGCTTTCTTGCTTTAAAACTGCAATTTCGGTTGCAAACTTCAAATTATTTATTTAAAGTTTTGCTGCTTTCTACACTTATTTTCATTTTCTTGCTTAAGTTTATTTTACGTTGCTTAGCCAGCGATGGTCTTCCTTTTTTAATTTGAGATAATTGCTCTCAGTCCATCTGAATACGGCGTTGAGTCCTCAGAGAAAGTCAAAGAAGTTCGGGAGAAAATTGCTTTGAAGAAGTGTCGTTGTGCTGTTTTTACTGCTCTGGATGATATTGCCTGTTTGTATTAAATTAATATAGACTTGATCTTAAAATTTATTATCACTTTCCCGAACATCATTCGAATTGAAGCAGAAAAATTTTTGCATTGTTTCAGATCGTTTTGTGTACAGAAATTTTTTCACTTATATGAAAGGCTGCTTGTTTTTGAACGCACAGTGGAGAAAGTTTCACTGACTCCTCAATGCAGTATGATTTTACCTTAGTGAAACCAGCTTATTCAGGGCTTTTTAATATTCGCGGTGCCGATATCCCTTACAATCCTGTAGTTTTTTCCATTGTTGTTCTAACAGAGTCAAATGTTCATTTGTTTATTGATACAAGAAAACTTTCGGCGGAATCAAGAAGACATTTGGGGCTAGTTGTTATTCATGAATATAGTGATGCTATTGACTGGATAAAGGAGTGGTACAAAAAAGAATCGACAGAAAACCAGCAGTTGAAAGTTTGTTTTTATTCATGTTTAAAGTTTTATTTACCTCAGTTGAAGTCGTTTTTTGTTTTCAATGCATTTACAAATTATTATTCATGTCAAATTAAGATTTACGTACCTAACTCGACAAATTTTGAAATTGGATCTATCTTTGAACAGCAGCACTGCGTCTATGGTCCTTCAATGATTCAGGTGATGAAGGCAGTCAAGAATGATACTGAATTAAGGGGAATGCGTAGCTCACATGTGAGCATCAGTAATGAATTTAAGAGCCATTATTAACTTTTAATTCATGAATTTTGGTTTTATTCCGTTTTTAATGACAAGTGTAAGATCATTTAAAAGACTACCTTATTTGTGCCTTAAAAATGCTGATTTTTATAGATTATGGACAGTTCAGCAGTTGTACGGTTTTTATGTTGGTTGGATCAGAGAATTAGTGGTTGTAACGACGTCACAGAAGTTTGCTTTAGACAATAATCTTTTTCTTTAATTTTGTGGCTTTTATATCTTTCGCTTTAATGCTGGAAAAAATGCAGATTCTTCTGGGGGTGTGTATTACCTTGTGTTTGGAAATTGTGGAAACAGTGTTTGAAGTTTTCAATCTTTTCCGGGATACTTATTTACTTTTTACTTGTTAACAAAGCGTCGTTTAAATTTTATAAAATTTAGATAGACGCTGCCGAAGCTATCAGTAAAATGCGCTTAGAAATTCCTGGTTTTATGGGACTAAGCTTTGAGACTATTGCAGCTGTAGACGAGCACGCTGCTTTACCACATTACAAATTGACGGAGGAAAGCGGCAAAAGCAAAATTACTCCAAACTGCATCTTTCTGATTGATTCTGGAGGACATTATCGGTTTCAGTTATTTTACTCTGGTTTAACATTTAAAATTTTTACATAAGTGTCTTTCATTCAGCAATGGGACCACAGATGTCACTCGTACGGTTGCATTTGGATCTGCTGTTACTGATAGTTTTAAAAGGAATTTCACTCTCGTGTTGAAAGGACACATTGCTACAGCCAAAATGATATTTCCAGATTCAATTCATGGTATTTTGAAACATCATCTACTTTTCATGTCTTGGGGAATTGATTTTGCCTTCTGAACCTTCTTTTAAATCTTTGCCCTTCAGGAATTCGCATCGATGTTATTGCTCGTCAATATTTGTGGAATGACGGTTTAGATTTCGGTCACGGTGTTGGACACGGAGTCGGTCATTTTTTAAATGTTCACGAGGGACCAGGTTTATAATACTCATTTTATGTTTTTGAGCTGTATGAGTTGTCTGCTCATTTCGTAAAAGTTACGCTTGAAAAATTATTGCTCTAAATAATTTTTGCAGCGGGAATAGGTTTCCGACGTTACACAGCTGATGGCGTACTGCACGAAAAGATGGTGATTACTATAGAACCGGGCTATTATCTTGAAGATCACTACGGAATTCGGATCGAAAATTGTTACGAGGTTTTCGCAAGATAAATAGCTTTATCCACTTCCAAAGTTTCACTGCTTCTTTTTATTTCTGTCTCTTCTTTATTTTGTGCTTCTAAATAAGCGTGATGGTACTTTGTGGTGCAAAAAATTTCAAGAAGTAACGTAAACATTCCAGGTTGTGAAAGCTTTGGGTCTGCGCTCTGGAGTTGAGAATTTTTTAACTTTTACATCGCTGACTTATGTTCCCATTCAAAAATCCTTAATGGTAAAGGAGCTCCTGACTAAAGAAGAGGTTATCTCTTTTAAGATTAGATTTAGTTCCTAGTAATAACATCAGCGGCAGGAGCGAAAATTGCTTTTATGAGCGTGTAAAATATAAGTTGTAGCGATATTTTCTTGAAGGTTGAATGGATTAATCGGTACCACGAGACTTGTATCGATAAACTAGTTCCTGTTTTGGTGAAGTTTGGGTGGAAGGAGGAAGAAGAATGGCTGAGAAATGCTTGTAGTCCTCTGTGAATCTAAGGAGCTGTTGAAAATTTAAATTTTTAATGTCACGATAGTTTTTTATATGTTTTCCCGTTTTTATTCTTTTTTGGTTTAAGATTTCTTCAAATTTGTTGTCTGTTGACTTTTGTTATTTAGAGAATTTACAGAATTCTTGATATGTATTTGCAAAACGTCTGTGATGTGTTATGCTTCTTCACTTTAGAACGTTTATTGGTCTGAGATTTCTTAGAACATTATAATATGCATGTGCTATATTAATCAGTTAATTCATTATAAATCATGGCTTTCGAGTATAAATAAAGAAGGGTTGGTGCTGTCCTACTGTGGATTTTAGTTTGCTTGCATTTCTATGGAAAAGGGGGACGGAAGGAAGTGATGAAATGAACAGCTATGAAATTATCACTTTCAAAGATTTTTTCGAGGTTTAAGTTTTTTGCTTTAATAAATTTTTTGTATTTTTCACTTTTTGTTTCATACTTTTTGCGACAGTTTATCATGAATTGGGCATAGTAGTGGGTCAGTGCAAAAACGTTATATTTAGGTAAAGTTGTTCATTTTTACTTTCAGGAACAAGTGGCTGAAATTTAATCAATGAAAATAGATTTTTGACTTGCTCTTTTTTTTAGTGGGTTTTAATTGCTGTTGCAGTGGATGAATTCTTTTAGGCTAGAGAACTGTCGGTTTACAATTTTTAACACTTTTCTGAAGGTTTCTTTTCTGCACCGATTGAAGCAGTGGCTGGAGGAAACAGTGTTCAGGCTTTGACTCTGATGGAAGTAAAGAAACTTGGGAAGGCCCCTTATTAAGATAGTTACACGCTGAAGTTTGACTGATTTTGAACAAATAATGATGGACTTATTTTTTTAATTTTTGGACGTTTTCAGTTTGCCTCATATGCCGAATAATTACTTTCTAATCGGTGTCCTGAAATGAAACTCTATGAGTTATCTGTTACAGATGTATTTTCAATAAAATAAAAGGACTTCAGCTTTTCACGCTTCATTCTTATCCGTCAGTTGCACAAATACGTTTAAAAACCGTAATTTGCGTCGAAAATTGGAACAGATATTACTTCATCGAAGTGCGTCGCTGCAGTGCCGGGTAACTCGTATTGCGAGTTCTGCAGATATAACCAGCAGAAACGGAACGCAGGCTGTTTTTGACTTATTAGATACCAAATTTGGCATATGTATTGCTCCGAAGTTAACCCCGCATTCATATTTGCATTTGAAGTTTTTGGGAAGGTTAACTCTTCCTGTAAGCAACAGAAATGAACTTGAGTTTCACCGTAGCTGCACAAAGTTTGTTCTCTAATGAACAAAAAAAAAATTCTTTTTTGCCAAAGTAGTGTAATTCATGCAATATAGTGACTATCTTTGATCTGTTAGATAGAACATAACCGACACCTCGGCGTATAACTATTGACTTTGCAGCTTTAACTTATTTCTATTAGAAATTTGCTTGGTATTCATTTTCAGAATCAACATTTCTCTTGGCTGTTTAGTTATTTTTTCTTTTCAAAGTCTTTTAGAGGGTTACAGAGTAAAATAATTTTGCTGTTGCTCTGAAAATTCTTTGAATTTCTTGCAGACTTTTTGTTGTCATTTTTGGTTCGAAAAACTTCAGATTTTTTAGATGGTGGCTGCTGTGTTATTAAGAATGCAGCGTTACATTGATTGTTGGGCTGTTGTTTTTTGTTTTATTAGTAATCAAGTTGTCATCATTGATTTACCTATGATGAACGAAATAGTTCTTGCAATAGGGGAGGAGGAACCAATACTGATAGAAAACCGGAATGTTTAATAAGTGCAACTACGACAATTTGAACTAGGATTTCTGTCTGAAATGTCAACCAATTATAGTTTACTTTCTGTTTATTCTGCTTTTAATATTCAAGCTTTTACTGGAAAAAAAAAATTATTTTTACTTGTTAGCAATTGTAATTTTTGGTTTGTTGCTGTGTTTAAAATTATAGTTTGACAGAAAGAATTACTTTGACAGTTTTTTTCTGTTGGCGTTTTGTATTTAACTTAACGTGAAGTCTGTTGATGAATGATATCTTACTTTTGATTTTCTCCAACATACCTCAATAGTTTTGGTGCTACCACGGCTTAAAGTACCTGTTATTTTTGATATTATTGTTGTTTTCAGTAACACAAGTCTAAATTTTGAATGATGAATGAAGAAACAGTAAGCCTTAATAAGGCGATAAAATCTACTCGGTTTACGGTCATACCAGTGAAAGAAAATTTTGAATATTCGTCAAAAAGTTTAAATGTGGATGGTGAATGCAGAAAGAATTTGTTGTATGATTGCTATTACAACAACGATTTATCTTCTGAAGAAGCTTTTGATCCATATTCAATATTTATGAGTATGTATTATCCGCTGGATAACGGAACTAAACAAACAAAGCTTGAAAAGTTTAAGGCGTATTGGGAGAATGATTCGTTCTATGCAATTTGGCGTAGGAAGTTTATCAAGGAGCATAGCTGTGATGAACATGATATGTGGAAAGAGGTTCATTTTTCCTATATTTCTATATACTTTTTAAATTTGTTGAGTAAGGGAACTTTTTTTCCAGTTTTTTTTGTTTTTGTTTTTTTTGACACGATGATGCTTAATAGTGTTATGCAGAACTAGAAGGTTAAGAACAAAGTAATTTTATGAGGCAATATAAAAAGTTCAACGAATTTGAGAGTTTGGGGACTGAGAAAAGGGGAATAAAATGACTTTTACCAATGAATACATCTGAAACTGTGTGAAAATTTTGTACACTGTTATTCTGATTGAAGACAGACATTTCTGAAGTGCTCGCAGCATTGAAATGAATAGGTCGGTTGATTCTTTTTAAACTTTTAAGCAATTCAAGAAAAAATGGACAGAAATAGGCATTGGTTAATGGTTAAAAACAAGCCGACGACATTGTGTCATATATTTGATGAGTACTGATGATTATGAAGATAAAGTGATGATGTTGACAATGATAAGGGAAGGAGAAGATAAAAGGAAAAATTATCCCATCTAAACT